ATTACCCTTTGTCCTGTCCCTGGCCATCACTGAAAAGGGCAGGGTATGATGTCAGGGTTATACATGCAGTGCATGCAGTGTAATTTATAAGAAGGAGTGAAGTAGGTGTGGTACTGCAGATCTTTACATTCGTCCTGAAAAATGAACATATCACCAACCTTGTGTGTAGTAGGTGTGGTTGCAGATTTTTACATTCTTTCTGAAGAATGAGCATGTCACCAAACTTGTGTGTCTTCCATCTTTTTTATTCACATAGTACTTTTGTGACCATAAAAATTTAGAGACTTTCACAAGCTTCCACATGTTCCTTAATGAATTTATGGATTTTCTTTCTCAGTTGGGTATAGAATTCCTGAGACTATTAATCTAATGTGATTTCAATGTCCATATTGACAATGTACATGATCTGTTTACTTTCCCACTCACCTGTAGCTTTATAAGCAAAATCATGTTTTCATGGGGTTTGCCTATTATTCCTCTAGTAACTCACAGCTGCAAGACTGAATTGTCCTCTGTCAATACTTATCACAGGATTGAATGACAGATCTTCACTTTCTCCAGTAGTATGGTAGCATTCTCTATAATTCTAAGTGTAATGTTACCAAATAGTCTTCTAGCTTTGTCTGTTTATTTTCTGCTTTTCAGTTTGTGCTCAGTAAATATAGCAATCAAAAATATTTCTTGCTTTTAATATAAGTTTTTAGATACACTTACTACCTTTATATTTTCTGTTATATAAGCTTGTTTTCTTAGGGATTTTATACTATTTATCAGTTCTATTGCATTGACATCCTTTTCATCCATATCTTGCATCATTAATTGTGTTTGGGTTACTTTTAGACTCTGTGCCTCGGTCTGTTTTAATTTAGAAAATTATATTCTTCATAAATCCATATTCACATTTCCAGTTCATTTGTTATATATTTATTTCTCTTAAATTTCCTGAGCTTTCTTTCCTTTAAATGAATAGTCTTCCTACGATATTCCAAAATGACCAGTTTCTTAGGATACTGTGCTTATGTTATCCTTCCTTTCTATTGACAGTATTAGCCCCAACCAGTATCAATTTCTCTTGCTATAGATTTGGGAATGAGATGAATTACATTCAGTTATCAATAAAATGAACATGACACAGAGTGAGAAATCCAAGATCAGGTGCAAAATTAAGGTTATGGCTCAGACTCATTCTTCAAAGCAAAAACTATTTGGCTAATACCAGGTGTTGAAATATAAAAAGAAAAAACAAGTTTCCTATATAGCCTTCTTCTCCTCCTAGCCTTTCTCTCTTTCCCTGTTTATTTGTAAAGAGTCATCTTTCTGCTTTTCTTGATCATTTTTCTACTTTTCTTAAAAACTGGCGAATTTTCTGTTGTTGCTCCCCTCTTCAGCAGCAGAGGGCCTGCACAGAAACCTGCTCTATGATGGAAGGTGAGTTTCTTTTTTATTTACTTGACACAAGGAGGTGTATTTGTGGGTTCGTTTACATGACTGGCACCCAAGTCAGGCTTCCCACTGCTGAGGAGAACAGCAGAACCAGAAACACACTGCAGCTGAGAGGCTTCGTCCACCTTTGGGAAGCTCTCCAGAGCAGCTCAAGAGCCGAAGAGCCTCTGGAGGGGATCCTGGCCCCACCAGTTGCCCTCCTACAGGAACCCATGGAAATCCAGAGCGGTTGCAAGGTGGGGGGTAGCTGAAGAGACTCTCCTTGCCCCGCCTGGAGACCCTGCATAGGCAACGGGACCGCCCGGCGCTGCCCCGACATGGCCACCGCATCACAGTGTGTCCTGGCGGCTCCGCTGTGATCTCAACCACAGCCACGGGCGCCCGTCCCTCAGTTCGATGCTGTGCCAGCGTTGGGAGACACAGGCTCCCAGTTGTGTGGCACGTGTTTGGCATCGGACGCTGGTGGTTTCACCTGCCTGCCCGGCTCACCATGGGGCAGGCAAACTGCTGCGGCCGCAGGGCTGATCCTAGCCCCGCTCCCGGCACGCAGCCGCAGCCCGGGGCGCCTGGCGCCCGGCACGGGCTGAGTGGCAGGAGAGCCTCCGCGCCCCCAGCGCCGCTGAGAGCCGGCGTGTGGCTGCGCAGGAGCCCCSAGCTCCTGCAAAGCGACCCCGCGTGGGTGATGCGGCGCCGGCGGGCGAAGGCCAGGCACCTCCTGCTCTTCCCGGAGGCCATCGCTGTGGCCAGCCTCAAGTAAGAAGAGCAGCCCCCGCTGCGCTTCCTGCCCCCCTTGGCCTCTGTCCCCAGCCCCAGGGCCCTGGGGCGCACGCAGGGGCTCAGCAAGCGGCGCTGAGAGCCTCGCGCAGCACCACCGYGCTCTSAGCACTCCTGGGGATCCCGGGCACACAGGAGGCTCCTTTGCCCTGCCCAGGCTCGCCCAGGGGACACCCATGGGCAGGCTCTGGCCCCCGCCACGGCTCTGCCCTGCACGCTGCTCTCGCAGCCCCCACCACACACGCCTCCAAGGCAGCCCCTGCTCTTGCTCCTGCCAGGTGCCGTGCCGCCTTCTGGCTCAAGCACGTGGTGCTGCTGAGCCAGCTGTGGGTGCTGTGCGGCCAGGACGAGGCGCCCAGCGAGCCCCGGGGCAAGAGGCCACAGAAGAGGGAGGAGGACGAGGAGTGGGACGAGGATGTGCCTTGCAGCCTCTCCCGCCCCAACACCCTTGTCCTGGCGTGGCCCGGCGCAGTGCGCGTGGTCACCTTCTGGTGAGTCCTGCGGCCGGCCCCTGCGACGGGGAAGGCACCTTAGGSCTAGCACGAGGAAGGCAGGGAGGGAGGGAGGGGAGGATGGAGGAAGCCTCCATTGCACAAGAAAGGACAGAGCTCAGCCCACACATGCGCTTGGGGCTCTGTGTGCGTGTCCAAAGGGGTGTCCAGCAGCAGCAGGGYCTGAGGCCSTTTCTCCTGTGCTCCCCAGGTCCCGGGAGGTGAAGGAGCGCTGGCTGCAGGCCATGCTCAGGTGAGCCCTGCCAGGGGACCCAGGTGTCTGCGGGTGGCACCAGGCCTGGGGRCGCTGGGGAGCTCCAGCTGCAGCTGCCCCCACCAATGCAGCCGTGGGAGGGGGGAAAGGGACAGGCAGCGCGGAGCCGAGCCCTCGCGCAGCACGGCCTCAGGGGCTCAGCCTCGTGCCTGCGAATGTGCTCCAAGGCCACGGAGCCCTCCTCACAGCTCCGTGCTGCCGCGGATGTGCCGTGCCGCCTGAGGGGCCTGATGCTCTGCGTTGCCGTGCGGGAGAGCCTGGAGAGCGCAGGAGCAGGGACGGGGCATGGGTGCTGAGTGCGGCTGGCAGCGCAGCGAGCGCTGCGCCAAGCTCTCCTGCRCCAGGGTGGTGTGGAGGTGCTGGGCTGGTGGCAGGGAGGGAGCAGAGAGGGCTGGTGCTCACAGAGCTCTTCCTTTGTGCCTGCCRTGGCCAGCCGAGGAGACCGGGGACCCAGGGTGACGCGCCTGCCCTCCCTGCGCTTCCTCATGCAGGCCGTGCGCTCCTCGAGCACTGTAAGTGTGGCGAGGCTTGGYGGCCTGCCCAGAGAGCCCCTGGCCTTGCAGAGAGCCCCTGGCCCCAGCTGCTCACGGCGCTTCTCTGCTCTCTTGCCTAGGGGCTGTCTGCAGAGACGCTGCGCACCCTGGTCTTGGCAGATGTAAGCAGGGGCTCCCTTTGCGCTGGCCCTGGCCGGCTCTTGGYGGGAGGGTGGTGTCGTTGCAGGGTGCAGAGGAGCCGCGCACRGCGCAGGAGCCACCACACTGCTCACGGCTGCACCAGAAGCCATGGCCGGGAGCAGCGCTGTGGGGCACAGAGGCGCTCTCCTTGTGCACCAAGGACCTCCTCAGCAGCTGCCTGAGTACYGCGGGCTTCTCCCAGGAGCCGCTTGCAGGCGGCTGCCTTGCTGGAGCCGCTTGCTCGCGGCCCCTCTGCTGCTGAGGGGACCCTTTGTAAGCTGGGCATGTTTCCTGCAGGCCAAGCTCAAGCGCTACTGCGTCCAGGTCCCGGATGCTCTGCAAGAGRGACTCTGCTCCTCGACGGGTGAGTTTGCACAGGACACCTTGCAGCTGCCCTCTGTCCAATACAGGAGATTCTTGATAGCTCCCTGCTCCATGTGCTCTAGGCTCTTGCCTGATGGACATTGACCAGGCTGGCCAACAACTCTTTCTTCCTTCTCCAATGGGAACTAGCTGAAAGCTCCCAGTGCAGAGCCTGGCTTCTAAATCCTCCTGTGGGAAATGTCCTTTCAGGAGCCGTTGCCCCAAAGTGCTGCAGATGTCAGTGAAATGTAGTGAGCTGGCCCCATCAGAGGGTGTAACCTGCTGTCAGCTTTCGGTTGCCTTGCACCTTTTGCTTTTTCTTCCATTCAAGTCCCTTTGCTGCCCGTTCTTTGGCTCTTGGTCTCCCTCAACAAGAGTCAGGCTTCAACTAGAGAACTTCAAGCCAAACAGCATGCAACGTGCAGCTTTTCCTTTGCAGAGCTGTCCTCAGAAGAGCAACTCAACACAGAAGTTGAGTTGCAAGGGGAGAGCCAGGAGGTGAGATCAGCCTCTCCCCTCTCCGCTGTGACATCCGAAGGCGGAGATGTGCCCGTGCAAGCACCACACTCAGAGGTATGCGGCGACGGGTGCGCCATGGCAAGAGTCCTATGCTGTCCCTCTCGTCACGGAGCCCCTGCTGGTGCTCGTGCTTCCTGACAGAGCTGACAGGGGACTCCCAACAAGGCACAGCTCAACTCTGCCTTGAGCATGAGTGCTTTGCTGTTCCTCCTGTATCGGCTGTGACATTAAGGGGGATTGTGAGCAAAGGCTTTCTGTCTCTCTTTCCATGACCACCATGCTCAGCAGCGTGACTTCAATGTGGTTGTGAAGCCATTGGTGAGGTTCCTGGTGGGCAGGGCTGTGCAGCAAGCTTACCAGGAACTGGAGGAGGAGGAAAAGCTGGCGTACCACTGGGAACAGCAGTGCATGGATACCCACGGGTGCAAAGCCGAGCTCACCCCATGCCTGGAAAAGCAGGGGAGGTGCTGCACAGAGCACAAGGTAGGAGCCACCACTAAGAGCTGCAGGAGCCTCTGCAAATGCAGRTGGTAGGAGAGCCAAGGGCTTGCAGCAGGGACGGGCAGGCTGTGCAAGAAGGGCGCTTTGCCCCAGCGGCTACTGTTAGCCTGGGCTGCCCACGCTCAGTTCACCCCAGTGCTCCCYATGGTCTTCCAGAAAGAAAGGAGCAAGAGCTAAGGGCTCAAACCTCTGATGTACAACATTGCCTTGGCAGGAATGCAATTCAGAGCAGCAGACTTCTAAGCTGCAGGAGGAGAGCAAGAGCCCTGAGCTGAGTGATGCCCTGGCGCCAGCTCAGGATCATGTGGCTGAATCCACCTCCTCAGACCTGAGCTGTCTTCCCAAGGACCAGCATGTCAACCACCCAGCAGAGATTGGTTAGTATTGGTGGTGTTTTGTCTGGGTGACCTGATGAATAGAGCATATAACAGACCCAGGAAGTGAGCTCGCAGACCTTCCTGTGTTCAATGCTCTCACTGCGTGCAAAGAGCACAACCTGGAGACAACAAGTGTGAGCGGAAACTCCTTAGTCACAGACACTGGGCAGGTCAGAGACCAGGCCTGTTTTCAGTGAAGAGCAGAAGCGCTTGGGAGCCGCATTTGCTCGGGAAGTTTTCCTCTACCACACTGCTCTGTGCTTCCCTGATGCTTGCCCTCAGATGACAGCAGAGGGAAAGCAGCTCCCACCAGTCTGCCCTTCCAGCCTACTACAACATTCCTGATTGTTCTTGTCTTTCTCCTCTCCCATTCCTGCAGATAGGGAGGCAGCATCCGTTCTCTGGCATCCTGTGCTGATAGAAGAGGCCTGGGTGGAGACAGAGGTGGGGACAGAAGTCCTTGTCTACACCATAACCATCTGAAATGTGCTCCCCACCTCTTGTTGTTGAGCCTCAATAAAAAATTTAATTTGTCTCCTTGTCTTCCTGTTTTTGTTGTTTTTCCTCTTCTAGTGTGTCTTGTGCCTCCTGCTGTACAGCCTGCTGCACTCCTTCCCCCAGGTTCCCCATGAGGACTGTGCCCTTGTGGTGGGGATCTAAGGACCAAAGACCACAGCAACCTCTGCCGTGCTGTGTCTGAGGTCCTGCAGCTGCGCTGTGCTCTGTCCATGCCAGGCGCCGGCAGAAGCAGCCCTGCTAGGCTGAAGAGCCAGTACATGGGCACTTTTCCCCCCAAGGGCTCTCCTCCCCAGCTCGCAGCACCGGTGCCGTGATTAAAATGCCTGAAGGGACTGAATTCTACCGAGGGGAAAAGCCACACCAGGATGAGGAAAGGGTGTCCACCTCAGTGGTGCTTGCTTGCTCCCAGTGTTTCCCCAAACCAAAAGAAAGGCCAACAATAACAAACACCAACCCTGTCCAGTCCTTTTCCTTGGCATGCTGCACATGCCCTTTAGGACTGGGGCAACCTGAGGAGGTAGGAAAGAAAGAGCATTTCTGTAGCCTCCTCTCAACGCCCAAATCCTCAAAACAAAGATGCACAAGTCAAATTCAGCATGTCACCTCCAAACTAATGGCGAGTGGATATGGTAGAAGCAGAGCTCTGGCCTCAGCCTTTGGAGAGCTTCATGGGGCTTTTGGCTGCTCATTCACAGAGCACCAGCTGCCACCTTGGCCTCCCCGCCAAGGCCTGGGAAGGTCCTGAAAAGGAAGCCACAGCTCCTCATGTGGGAAGACAGGGGTGCTATGGCTTGTTAATCACAGAATCGTGAAGGTTGAATGGGACCTTGTCAGATCACCTAGTCCAAATGCCTGGCATATAGGCAGTGCCCCGGAGAACACATTGCACAGGATCACATGCAGGTGCTTTTGAATATTTCCAGAGAAGGAGAATCTGCAACTTCTCTAGGGAAGTAGTTCCAGGCAAGAACCACCCCCACGGTCAAGAAGATTTTCCTCACACTCAAGTGGAACTTCCTGTGCTTTGCTTTGTCCCTGTTGTCTCTTCTCCTCTCACTGGGTTCCGCTGAAGAGATTCCAGCCACATTCTCTTGGCACCCTACCTGATGATGTTTATAAACATTGGTAAGGTCTCCTCTCAGTCTTCCCTTCTTGAAACTGAACAAATCCAGTTCTCTCCTCTCCTCTCCTCTCCTCTCCTCTCCTCTCCTCTCCTCTCCTCTCCTCTCCTCTCCTCTCCTC